TAAAGCTTGTTGTTGCTCAAGCCCCTATGTCTGCTTCCCGTTAGTTCTGATTGTGTCGAAGAATGGCTTGCATCTATCTGATAACCTTGAGATGAACATGCTTAGCGCAGCTATTCTTCCTGTGAGAGTCTGGACGTCCTTGAGGGTCTTTGGTTCCTCGCTTTGTATCAGTGTTTTTGCCTACGCAGGGCTTACTTCGATACCTCGGCTATTAACAATATGACCAAAAAACTGCCTAGAGTCAACCTCGAATGAACATTTGAATGGATTTAACCTCATGCCGTGCCTTCGGAGTGTGTCGAACACCTCTTGCATGTGTGCGATGTGATCTTCCTTCCTCTTGCTTTTTACAACCATGTCATCAATGTGGGCCTCTACTATCCTACCCATCTGGTCTTTAAAAACTTTGTTGATCAACCTCTGGTATGTGGCCCCCCATTCTTCAGACCGAATGACATCACCTTGTAGCAATAGGTCCCTCGTTTTGTCACGAAGTCTTTTCCTCATCGTCCGGGTGCATGGGGATCTGATTGTAGCCCGAATTCGCAAAGAAGGTCAAACCACCCAGTGGTTGCATCTACCATTTGGTCAATCTTTGGCAGGGGGAAACTGTCCTTGGGCATGCTTTGTTCAAATTAGTGAAATCAACGCAAACCCTTAATTTCCCGTTCTTCTTTTGGACAACAACTACGTTAGAAAGCCATTGGGGGTAGTACACCTCTCTTATGAATCCTGCTTCGAGCAATTTATCAACCTCTTATGCTATAATCTTATTCCGCTCTAGTGCGAACCTCCTTTGCCTCTATCGGACAGGTTTGAAGTGTGGACCAACGTTCAAACAGTGGCAGGAAAGGGACAGTTTGGCTCCTGGCATATCTAAGTGACTCCAAGTGAATATGTCTAAGTTCCTAGTCAGAGTTTTAATCAGATGTTGTTTCTCTTCTACACTTTTCATTGATCTTATCCTCGTGGTCTTCGCATGTGTCAAGGGATCAATATGCACATCCTTTTGCAGTTCGTCCGTGAGGATCGGCACCTCCGCCTCAGGCTTGACCTCCTCTCTGTCGGGCAGAGGGCTCGGTAATTGCTATTTGGGACTTACAAGGTAGGCAACCGCCTTGCCCTTCTTGCTGAATTTGAGTGTCACCACATAACATTCCTTGGCCGCCACCTGGTCCCATGGATATCGATTACCTCGTTCCTGTCTGGACTTAGACAACTCATGACTTGGTGCAGTGGGACACCTTGGACTCAGTGGATCCACCCTCGCCCCATTAAGAGGTTGTCAGAGGGGTGAACATCTACTATAACCAAATTTTGCTTCAGGTTTCTTTGTGCAGCGCAAACTAGTAGTTCCACAACTCCAATGGGCTCCACCCTCTTTCCATCAAACCCCACCAGAGGGTTCCCTGTAAGCCAGACTTGTTTTGGGTCTATCATCAACTGTTTGAATGCCACCTTCGTTATGATGTTGGCACTGCTTCCTGGATCTATTAAAACTCTTTTGCCTAGGCAGTTTGACACCATCAAGCTAATTATCAATGGATCCTCATGTGAAGTTTGAACTCTGTGAAGATCAGTTTTATCAAATTTGATCAAAAGCCATGTTGCTTTCCTAGCGAACTGTATTGACGCTCCTGAGCCTTCTCATTTTGTGAACCTTCCTAAGGCGCGTAAGGTGGACTTCTTTTGTCTCGTCATCAGCTTCTGGTCGGCCATGAATCGCATTAATAACCCGGACCGGTTGTGTGTCCTGATGGTGCACCCTCTGATTGGCCCTCGACTGCTCTGTTGGGCGAACCTGCTCCTTGGTTTGTAAATAGTTGGCCAACTCGCCCCTTGCAATTAACATTTCAACCTGTCTCCTTAGATTTCTGCACTCGTTCATCTGATGCCCAAAATCATTGTGGAATGCGCAATGCTTCGATTGGTCCCGTTGCTCAAGTGGTTGTTTGATAGGCTGAGGCAGTCAGAACATTCCTTTATTTTCCTGGTATAGCTTTGCCAGAGTGCCCCTGAGTAGGGCTGCAAATGAGCCGAGCCGAGCCGAGCTTTAGGCTGTTCGGGCTCGGCTCGTTTGTTTATGGGATCAGCTCGGGCTCGGCTCGTGACGAGCTCAAAACTTTGAGCTCGGGCTCGGGCTCGTCTTGATTTTAAAAGCTCGGGCTCAACTCGTTTAACAAAAAAAAAAAAATTCAAAATTAATTAGTATTCTACAGGCCACAATACCTTTTTCCATTGCTTTATCAATTATCACATAAGCAAAAAGAAAAAGGGAAAAAAAAAAAAAAAAGGTGCAGTAGTGCAAGCTTTAATGTTTCAAGAACAAATTAAGAGTAAATTTCGAAAAAAGAAAAAAGGACAAAATTGAGCATGAGTGCATTATGCATTTTCTATGAAAATACAACACATCAAAAAGTTATAAATTCCCATGATAATAATATCTATAGAACCACTGAAACATTGTATATATTAAGTAGAAAAAGAAATCACAGAGGAAAATAAGTAGGAGATAAATTAATTTAGCTACCTGTGGCCATTGAGCATTAGTCTCCATAAATTTAGAAGAAGCAGAAGAAAAGGCTAAACAAAATTGTTTGCAACTGCCTAAAGAATGTTTTGAGGTTGTCCAAATCCATGGGATTAAAGTGAAAATAAAGTTTTGCCAAAAAATTAATTGATGTAGTACCTAATTGATGGCGAGGACAGAGGATGGCCCACGATGATGACGAGGATGGAGGGACAGCGGCACAGACGACTGCGGGAAACGGACGACGTCCACGGCGAAGACAGAGGACCGCGGCCGACGATGACGATGACAGACGATGCGTTCAGATCTGAGAGAGAGAGTTATGGCGATTGAGTTTATTAGAGAGAGACAGAGAGGTAGTTGTGTAGATGGAAGGGTTGTCGTCGCCGGTGGAGTTGATTCGTAACTCATGAGTGAGTGATAGAGAGAGAGAGACTGACGATGTTGTGGAGAAGAGGCAGATCTAAATGGTGGGGTGTAGTTTTAGGGTTTTTTGATATCTTACAAAATCAACGGATGAGATGGGTTCTAATTTAATGGGTGAGACGAAATCTTATTTGGGCTATGGATCTGTGGTGGATTTTCTTTGGGCTAGTGAGCTATAATGCTTGGGCCATATTAATGTAAAATATGAGCTGGGCCAAACTTAAAAATAATATGGACTAAATATTTTAAATGTACAATAAAAACAAATGGGCCTGATATATATAGAATGGGCCTGATATATATAACGAGCCTGATACGAGCTTTATTCACGAGCCTTAACGAGCCCATATTCACGAGCCTATGCGAGCCGAGCCCAACGTTGCTCAGGCTCGGCTCGTTTAGTAAACGAGCCTAGAAATTGGGCTCGAGCTCAGCTCGTTTGCTTAATGAACGAGCCCGAGCCGAGCCCGAGCTGTTCATGAACAACTCGGTTCATTTGCAGCCCTACCCCTGAGTGGGGTAATCTTTTCATCTTCGCGCTGCCTCTTTTCAGCCCTCCAAGGCGTTGTCCGTGGCTGAGCAACTAGGGCCCTAGGGATGGTCATTTTGGCCTTAGACTTGCATTCCACTGCGACCATTGTCATTTTTCTTGTGTTGACCGCTTCATCTTCCTCTAGCTGTATGTAACCTTGCGCCCTCGTACTGAGTTCATCCATAGTTTTTGGCGCCCTGTTCACCAAAGACGTGTGGAACTGAGTTCCTCTGATCGTCGCCAACTTGAATGCTTGCACTGCTGAGGATGGATGGCAATCCACCACCATACTCATTTCTAGGTTGAATCTGGTGAGGAAAGCCTGGAGCCATTTGCCCTCGTGTTGTTGCATAGTGAACAAACATGAGATGTCTTTCTCTATCCGGCGATTGCCATATTACTAACCTATGAACAGATCGCAAAGCCTCCGGAAACTTCCGATCGATCCCTTTGGAAAATGCTTAAACCAACTGAGCGTTGGTCCAGTTAGGCTCGTTGGGAAGACTTTGCACATTAGGCCTCATCCTTGGTATCTAGGGTCATCTTCAGCTGGATCTAGTACACATGCTCGGTTGGATCTTTAGTTCCGTCAAATAACGTGAACGTCGACATTGTTAACTTCCTCGGCTTTGGAGATCGAAGGATCTCTTCTATGAAGGGTGAATCGATCGTCCGAGCAAACGTTCTAGCCACCTCATTGTTTGTTAAGGGGGCCTTTTGGTCCTACTGCTCTCCGGTGGCCCTCTGAGTGTGAGTGCTCACATCTAACTAGTGCATTTCGTCGAACGTCTTATCTGCCGTTGATTCTTTCGGCCATGAAGGAACAACCCCGACACGCTCCATCTCATCCTCCGACCCTGGCCTCCTGTGCAATGGGTCAGTATGGATAGACCCCACTCTTTCCGCCCGCCAATTGACATTTGTCATCTCCACCCTCTATTGGCAGTCGAGGGGGTGGTGGTTCTTCCCTTCGCTCCATCTTGGATCTGAACTCAGCATTCTCTCGTCGTAGAGTTTCGATGATCTACATCAACTCATCATGCCTAATTTGCTCGCTCTCATCCCGCTGATGGGAGCTTCTTTCTCCAATCATGGTTCCCAATCGGAGTTGAGTCATAGTTCAACGTGGAACCCGCTGGATCTTCCTCTCGCTTCCCACAGACGGCGCCAGATGAAGATGCAAGAAATTCTCTTCTATTCTTGGAAAGTTTTTCTTACACTCCAAACAACTCTGCCTCTTCTAGGCTTCTCTCCTTCTATTTATAGTAGTTTATATTGTACCCTAGGCTATTTGCTTGGCTTCCAAGTTGGGCCTGACTCTTTTTTTGGGCTTTATTCCTTGAGGATCCGTTTCTTTCTGAGATACGATTGGGCCAAGTTTGATTTCATTTAAACCTGTTGGGCTAAAATAGCCCATTGGTTTTTGGTCCTTTCAGGCACATAACAAGGTATATAAAGATTAAGCAACAAATCGGTCATTTGAATTTCCATATGTTATAGCTTAAAACATACCCTTAACAACTTCCGATCCTTTGCCAACAGCTGCCTTTTCATTTTGTGAGTCCTTATCCTTCTTTTGCACTCTTCCGGCAGACTGTAAATTATTATTGTCAGTAATCAAGTGATATAAAGGTGACAACAAAAAGGAAATTGGGCATGAACATTTGGTTCTTCACAGACCTTATAGAAGTATTTCTAAGAATAATATCATATCCTTAAACATATTGTTAATATACAACAAGACTACAAGATGACAAGATCTCCTTATTCAGCAATAGCACTTACTATATTAAGAAATTGGGCAAAGGGAAGAAATTTAAACAAATATTCCAACAGAGATGACCAAAAACATGAGAGACATTGAAACTCATCTACCAGCATTAGCATTCACAGGTTCAAAAGAAGAAAATGAACTAATATTTGAGCAAGTGCTTATTCAAAGCATGATAGCTATGGAAACACACCAACTAGAGTATATAACTAATAACAAGAAGTGGAGCAACAAAGACCAAGAAGAAACTGCAGGTTAATGCGTGTTTTATATATATAACATTTTTCCCTTTGCTGCAAGAAACACGACAACCAATATATGAGTATCAAATTTTTTTCATAATATAACTATATAAGTACAATTCATAAGGATCTTTTTAATCCAATAACTTCACTACGTGACATGAATCCACATAATATAATATTTTCAAAAATTAAGCACAAGTTTCTTATATACTTCATCAAATTTCAGATTTATAGATTTGATAATTATAAATAAAATTGACTGAAGGATTCCATTACAAACAGAAATAATCCCATCACATAGATGGTTACCTGGGACAATGACTTGTATCAAAATAATTCTACCATTGCCCACTCATTCAGTTATCTTCAAATTACTTTGTTCCTAAGATATCATTTAAAGTATATTGTTTTTCAGGGGAAAAATTTTGATAAAACAATGCTTTTGGTGGTTGACACACTCAAATTAGTATTACGAAGGCCTGGATAACATTGTCAAGAGAGGAAATTTGTTCAAAATATTTCAACCAACGACTCATTTCTCAACAAGCAAAGCCTATCGTGGTCAAGTACCTCTGATCTTTCCAGGAAACATAATGTTAACCAATTTCAGTTCCTCCGAGGGAAGCAGCAGATTGTAACAATAATCTAAATATTTTTCAGAAAATTGAAACCTTGAAGGAACATATTAGATTGTAAAGAGAGACCATAAATCCATATAGCAATATAGCCATAGATATATAATATAATATATATATATATATATATATATAGAGAGAGAGAGAGAGAGAGAGAGATTATGTAAGAGAGGTAGGAGCAAGATATCCGAGCTGGTCCAGCAACCAATAAAATGTAACAGTGAGGTACTCACAGCCAGTAAAGTCATACGGATGCTCCTTTCTTCCTCATCTTGGTCTGCATATTTCTCTTTCATCTTCTTGAGTTTACTCCTCTGCCCACGGCTTTGTTTTCCACCACCACCTGGCCTTGAATTTACAACATTTTCTTCAGACTGATTGACACTATAATTATCATCTTCTACCTCTTCTTTTTCATGTTCAACAATCACATCACCAGTACTTTTCTCTTCTTTTTCATGTTCAATGATAGCACCTACAGTACTATTTTTCTGGCCTTTCTTGAGCTTTCTTCTTTCAGCTTTTGAGATATAAGGTTTCTCTCTTGCAGTTGCCTTCTTCTCTTCATGATTATGTTCCTCTGCCGAAACTATTTGAGAAGCTTGGTGCCCATACTTTTTACCAGATGCAGTAGAAGATCCAAGCTCAAGAGCCTTGTCGATGAGATCTTCAAGTTGTGGGGAGACAGAAGAAACACTTTCTCCAGCAATTACAGATACATTCTCATTATCAATACCATTTAAGGTAGTTCTATCTTCGATAGGAAATTCAGCTTTCACATCAGAAGTACCCAAGTCACTAACAGAGCTAACTTCAGATGGTGAGCCCCCTGATACTGATTTAGTATGATCTATTGATGAATTTAGGTTGCTTTGTGACTCTAATGTATGTCTTTCATCTGAGATTTCCTTCTCTGAATCAGAATCAGATATTTCTTCCACAGGTCCACTTTCTTCAATGTCATTTATCCCTTCCTCCTCACCTCTTACCCTCCTTTCATTCAAATGAGATCCCAAAGAACTCTCATCCAAACGGAATAATATCCCAAAGCCCATAATAAGAGGGTGTGGAGGAAGAAAGTTCTTCTTCCCGCGGATCATAAAACTCCCAACTGTAAGATATTCCCCCGTAGGAGCAGTCTTACTGACCTGGTGAGGATATACCCACCAAGCACTAGTGACAATCTTTGAATCCCATGCCTGGCTGTGGCAAACCTACATTGCAATATAAATTAGAAAGTTAAATTCTCCACGAACATGCAATAAATCAAAATGAGCAAGAAAATTATAAAAAGATAACCAGCTTACAGTGAAACATCCTGCTTGGTTCAAAGTGAGAGGGGGTACAGGGTGTTCAGGCTTGTGATTTTTTATCACAGTGCTAGAAGCTCCATGGAGATCTGCATGGACATACCTGTTGTCATCAGATCAGCAATATGAGCACAAAACATACTACTGGAAAAGTACTAATCAAATTTCCTAGCCAATATAAACATGCTAAGTCATGACAAAGCAGAATTCATGTCAATCTAGCTAAAGCCATTGCAGCATAATGTAAGAGATGCAGGCATACAATCACCACAAGCTGTTAGTGTGAATGGTATTTCCTCTAACTCCTAAGGTGGAGTTGGTTCCGAGCCCTGGTTTAAATAATTAAAAATAAATAAAATGCCCACATGACATGGAAAAGGCAAAGGTGGGTTTAGACCTTAGGGCTTTCAGATCTTATATTATGAGGGAAAAAAATATAAATAAAAGGTTAAGGGGATCTCAAGTATCATTATTCGTATATTATGTTATCCTCTCTATTAACTACCATCTACTCTAAAAGCTTAAACTGTTAGAGGATGTAACTTAAATATATAAATCTTTCAACACGCCCCCTCACGTGTGGCCTTCTTTTGGTCTAATACGTGTTTTTTTCAATTTTTTAAATTTGGGTGACAGTAAGGTTTGAACTTGTTAGCAGATATGATAGCCACTATTTACGAAATAACTTACCGTATTACTAGAGATTTGATTATGTTATAGGATATGCCATAGAATATACTATGATTTGATTTAGATTTAATTTTATTTCCTTTCTTGTAATATGAGCATGTGCTCTATTTTATTTATAAATACTAGAGCTGTGAATGAATGATTCATCTCATTCAAGCCTTTACACAATTCTCTCCTTCTTCTTCTTTTTATATTTCTTCTTGGTATCAGAGCCAACACCTTTCAGCAGCCTTGATACTTGTGCGACAACCATCTTAGGTTGGTTGTGACGTCATGTGACGTTGCCTACACATGTTTTTTTGTGTTGCTGTTTTGTGACCGAAAACAAATATTTTTAAGTTTTACAATTTCTTTTTTACTCTTTTAGAGTTGGGTAAATTGGGATCGTTGGTCTCCAACACCTAGAAGGACTTGGGTAAAATTTGTTGAGTCTGCAAAGAGGTTCTAGATATTAAGAAGGAGGTTGTCCGGCTGTAAGCGGGCAGTGCTCCTTAAAAAAGTCTGTATTTGGAGCTTTCGAGAATGGTCTGAGGAGACATTGTTATTGTTTATGGTCTGAGGAGACCCTTTGATTTATTAACAAAATTTGTGGTGTTTTTGGAGTTGTTTATTGTCATGTGACAGATTATAGCAGATTTAAGGTCATCGACTGTTAATTCTCTTGGCTCAAGTTCTGTGGTTGGTGGTGCCATTTTTCCCACCAACTCATCAGAAAATCCAGGACTTCAAATCACCACAGTGAAGTTGGATGGCTCCAACTATTTGATTTGGGCACAATCTGCCAAGATGTTCATTGGTGGCAAAGGCAATATAGGCTATATTACTGGTTCTAAGAAAGAGCCAGCTGAGTCGGAGAAGACATATCCACAGTGGTTTGCAGATAATGCTATGGTTATGTCTTTGCTAGTCAATTCGATGCAACCAAGCATAGCCATTGGCTATATGTTTATGAAGACTGCTAAGCAGATTTGGGATACAGTGCAATGCACTTATTCTCAGAGGCAGAATAATGCACGGATTTTCCAGTTGGGGCGAGACATCACCAGGATTTCTCAGGGTAACTTGACAGTTTCAGGTTACATTACCAAGCTTTGTGCTATTTGGGAGGAGATGTCATATTATGATTCCTTCCACTCTTGGAAGGATCCAGATGATGCAGTTTTATATGCAGGGATTGTGGAGAAGAATCGAGTGTTTCAGTTTCTTGTCGGGTTGAACGACGAGTTTAAGTATGCTCGTGTTCATTTATTGGGCTTATCTTCATTCCCTACTCTTGAGGATGCGTACTCCTATGTGTTGTCACATGAGAGCCGTCGGACTCATCCATTAGGTTTTGCTTGTATTGATCGTTCAGTTATGGCAGTTAGGGTTCCCAACCTTTCAGGAACTGCACCATCCCAGTCAGTTCAGAGGTCTACCACCGGTCCTCCTCTGGGACGACAACGTGGGAGATGTGACCATTGTGGAAAAATTGGTCACATCAAATCTCGTTGTTATGCACTATATAGATGCCCACCGCAATAGAAACAACATTCTCGATCCTCTGCACATTCTATTACATAACCAGTCTCATTGTCAACTCCTGACAATTCTGCCTCTCTATCTTCTGCCACAGTTAGCTTGACTCAAGCTGATTTGGACAAGTTCAAACAATTCTTCAATCAAATGGAGGTATCATCTCAGCCAACCTCCACTTATGCCCACTCAGGTACTATTGCGTCTGCACATAGCGTAACTACATCTTCGACACCATGGATCATTGATTCTGGTGTTTCAGACAATATGACTAGTATGTCCCCATTCTTCCAATCTTATAGTATCAGCTATGGCCATCACAAGGTACGCCTTACAAATGGCACTCCATCTTCCATTGCTGGAAGGGTCACATATCAGTTACTCCTTTATTAACTGTTAGATACACTTCATGTTCCACAATTGACTACAAATCTTATTTCTGTTAGTGGAGTTACTAAATTAAATTGTAGTGTAACGTTCTTTCCCTCTCACTGTTTTTTTCAGGATCTAGTGTCGAAACGGACGATTGGCAATGGGCGTGAAGTGGATGGCCTATACCTATTGGATGCTCCTTTGTTACCTCAACCACATTCAGTTTCATTATCTAATTCTGTTTCTTCTTGTTAAAAGAAAAATAAAAGTTGAAGAGAGAAATTATAACATGAACAACAAAAGAAGATAATATGGTTCAGCCACTAGGGCTTACATCCATGACACACAAAGCCCAAAAGGTTACATTTCTTTCATTACACTCTCTCTTAATCTTTGTATACAAAGATCACCTCTATTTATAGGTGAAAGAATATAAGTGATAAATATAGAAAATACATTGATGGAAGATTTTTAAAATCAATCCCATTAATCACTCCAATCAATAGCTAAAATCTCTCCTATGATATTCTCATATCAAATATTTTGTAAAGGAATAATTTAAGGGTTTCTATAATAATATTTTCCAACACCCCCTCTCAAGTTGGTACACGGAGATTTTAACTCAAGTGTCCAACTTGAAACTAAATATGAAGTTATCAAGAGTATGAGACGAGTAAATCTGAGACGAGTTGATCCGAAGATCTGAGACGAGACGAGTTGATCTGGAGATCCGAGACGAGTTGATTTGAAGATCCAAAACGAGTAGAGTATAGAGTAGGGTATGATAAACCTGCTCTGATACCATATTGAAAGAAAAATAAAAGTTGAAGAGAGAAATTATAACATGAATAACACAGGAAGATAATGTGGTTCAACCACTAGGGCTTACATCCATGACACACAAAGCCCAAACGGTTAACATCTCTTTCATTACATTCTCTCTTAATCTTTGTATACAAAGATCACCTCTATTTATAGGTGAAAGAACGTCTAATAAAGCTCAGCTTATGCATTAGCGCATGCATTTAGGACATATTTCTTTTGGTTATTTAAAACATTTGTTTCCTTCCTTATTTTGTTCGTTCCAATTATCCTGCTAGTAGTAATAAATCTATTTTAACAACTTTTGATCTTGTTCATTCAGATGTGTGGCGTCCTTGCCCAGTTACTTCTAGCCTTGGATTTCGATATTTTGTGTTGTGATCATAGTCGTGTTATATGGGTTTATCTTATGAAAACCAAAAATAAGGTGTACAGCATTTTTAAAAATTTATTTACAATGGTTCAAACTCAATATGGTTGTACCACTAAAAAATTCAAATCTGACTAGGGTAAGGAGTACACTTATGGGGAGGTACAGCGGTTATGTACAGAATTTGGGATTGAGCAGATGTCTAATGTTAAAACCCCTCAACAGAATGGTCGTTCTGAGAGAAAGAATCGTCACATCCTTAACTTAGCCAGAGCAATCTACATTCACATGAATGTTGCCCAGTCATTTTAGGGAGATGTAGTTCTTACAACTGTCTACATCATTAATAGAACTCCTTCTAGAGTTCTTAACTTTGCAGCCCCAGTCTCAATCTTGCACCCCAATTCATCTCTTTTTTTTTATTCCTCCGCAAGTCTTCGGATGTGTGTGCTTTGTTCAGCCGTTGGGGCAGACTCGTACAAAGCTTGACCCCAAGGCTTTGAAGTGTGTGTTTTTGGGCTATTCTCACTCTTGAAAAAGTTATAGATATTACCATCCTCCCAGTCGTCGGCGGTTTATATCCATGGATGTTTCTTACTTTGAGCATACACCATACTATAGTGGTTCAGTTGGTTCTCAAAGTGAATGGTTCCCATTGAATACAATTGATGATCACCTTCTTCCGTCTTCAACTCCTCTACCTTCGCCTATTTCGTCTTCTATTATTCCTTCTCGTGATACCCCTCAAGCAGGGAGAATTGTTCCTTTTCCACAGGTTTATAGTCGGAGACAACAGGTACAAGCTTCTACTCCCACGATCGACTACCTTGTTCCTTCGGCACCAACTCCGCCGTCTCAAGCCATTGTTTCACTTGATGATCGCTTTATTGCTCTTCGGAAGGGTAAACATTCTTGTATTTACCCAATTTCTAATTTTGTCTCTAATTGTGCTCTCTCACCCTCCAATCGGAGTTTTCTTGTTTCTGTTGCCTCGGTTCCTCTTCCTTCTAGTGTTGCAGATGCACTAGCACAACCTCAATGGCATGATGCTATGACAGAAGAACTACAAGCACTTGAGAAAAATCATACTTGGGACATGGTTCCGCTTCCTAGTGGATGAAAGGTTGTGGGTTGTCGTTGGGTGTTTACAGTTAAGCATAATCCAGAGGGTCAGTTGCTCGTTACAAGGCCCGATTAGTTGCCGAGGGTTATGCTTAGAGTTATGGCATAGATTATCAAGAGACTTTTGCCCCAGTTGCCAAGATGAATACCATCCGTGTATTATTTTCCATTGTTGCGATTCGATCTTAGCCTCTATTTCAGTTAAATGTCAAGAATGGCTTTCTCAATGGTGATTTGCAAGAGGAGGTATATATGGTTCCCCCTCTGGGCTTTCATTCTCCTGCTTATTCCTGTGTGGTCTATCGTCTTCGTCGCTCCCAGTATGGCCTCAAGCAGTCTCCTCGAACTTGGTTTGATCGCTTTGGCACTGCCATGCTCAAGTTTGGTTTCCATCAGAGTGCAGCTGATCACACCTTGTTCTTACGTCATTCAAGCAGTAAGACAATATCGCTCATTGTGTATGTCGATGATATCGTTCTTATCGAAGATGATACTACCGGAAATACCGAGGTTTAGAGTTATCTTGGCCGTCAGTTTAAGATTAAAGATCTTGGTCCCCTTCGGTACTTCTTGGGCATTAAGGTGGCTCGCTCGAAGGTTGGTATTTTCATCTCTTAACGCAAGTATGTTCTTGACTTGCTTTCTGCTTCTGGTCAGCTTGGCGCTCATCCTACTGATACTCCGATTGAGTCGAATCATCGGTTGGCTGATTCTGAGGGGGAGTTGTTATCGAATGTTGTTGGGAAGCCTATATATTCATCCATTACTCGACCTGACATTGCTTATGCTGTGAGTGTCGTGAGTCAATTCATGCACTCTCCTCACTTATCAAAAAAAAATTCATGCACTCTCCTCGTACCCCACACCTTAATGAGGCTATTCGGATCCTTCACTACTTAAAAGGGTGTTCGGGCCGTGGTATTTTGTTTGCCAATCATGGTCACTTACGTGTTGAGGCTTGGACAAATGCTGATTATGCATGATCAGTTTCAGATAGGAGGTCAACTTCGGGCTATTATATACCACTATTGGTGGCAACTTAGTAACTTGGTGCAGTAAGACGCAGGATGTTATCTTACTTATCAAAAAAATAAAATAAAAAAGACACAGGGTGTTATCTTACTTATCAAAAAAATAAAAAATAAGACACAGGATGTTATCTCTCAATCTAGTGCAGAGGCAGAGTATAGGGCTATGGCTCTTGGAGTATGTGAGTTGCTATGGTTGAAAACCTTGACGACAAATCTGTGCCTTCCAGTGTCGCCATTCTCACTTTACTGCGACAACGAGTCTGCCATTAGCATAGCAGCAAATCCTGTTCAGCATGACAGGACTAAGCATATAGAGGTGGACCGTCACTTTATTCGAGAGAAGATCGTCTCTGGTCAAATTTGCACTCCATTTGTCACAAGCTCTCAGAGCTTACATTCTTACAAAGGGCGTCGGTAAAATTGTGTTTGAGAATGCATTGTCCAAGTTGGGCGTTTCAGATATCCACACACCAACTTCAGGGGGAGTGTTAGCAGATATGATAGCCAAGATTTATGAAATGACTTACTGTATTAGTAGAGATTTGATTATGCTATAGAATATGCCATATGCTACAGAATACGCCATAGAATATGCTGTGATTTGATTTAGATTTGATTTTATTTCCTTTCTTGTAATATGAGCATGTGCTTTTTTTATCTATAAATACTAGAGCTGTAAATAAGTGATTCATCTCATTCAAGCCTTTACACAATTCTCTCCTTGTTCTTCTTTTTATATTTCTTCTGAACTCGATACCTTTGACTCTGATACCATGCTAACTACCATCTACTCTAAAAGCTTAAGCTGTTAGAGAGGGTGTAACTTAAATATATAAATTCTTCAACACTCTCACTTTGCATAAAAAGCAAGAAAACACTAGCACATTTGTGAACATTGAAATCATGGAAGCGAATGGACAAAGCTTTAACATCAAGAAGGAACATAAAAATGAATCAGAGAGGAAAAAAAATTAGATATGACATCTATATTTCACACTTTAATTACCTAAAACTCTTCTTCCCTAGACAAATCCTGAACTAAGGTTAGTTGATATTTGTTTCACAACATGGGGATAAATCCCTTCTGTTGCTGTAAATGATCAAGCACAAAAGAAAACATAAGTAAAGATAAATTCCTAGAGAGAGTCCTTTCTCAATGATGTCAGTTGATAAAAGAAGAAAGATTCATTAATCTAAGATCATCATCCCTCTGCAATTTCAGATATCATCCCAGTAAATTGTTGATGTTTGGATCACTTTCAAATGTTGAACAAAACTAAGTTTTGAAAATATGGATAACTATTATAGTTTTTTCAGAAAATTCTTCTAAAAGAATAATTCATAACTATTATTAGTGTTACACCTCTGCACATCTTTAATATTGCCAGATCGTATTGCTGTGGAACATACTAGAGTTCCAGGAAAATTATAAAACTATATCGATACCCACTTACAGATCTCCTTTTGACATATAACGCTTGACTATCATCTCATTTTGCTGAGCATCACGTCCACTAATAACCAAATAATTTTCGCTGCTGACGAACCAATCAAATTTCTCAAACCAGTGAACTTTGCGCATATGTGTAATTGCAGCGACAGTTTTTTCCTGTATATTTAAAATGAAAACGAATTAAGCATTGAACCAATTAAAGATAATTTGTCTAAGATCAACATAACAGTTGAAAAATCAACCATTAGTAGAAATAGTTATACGCAGGGTAGTCATTCAATCTTTACTTCTTATTTTTTACTTTTATTTTTTTGCGGGCAGCTAGTCAGTCATTCAAGTGATGTAAATCGAAGTCAGTGATCATAAAATCTGGTATAATGCCAATCAGGGACATCATTTGCTCCACTGAGATCCATCCTGTAACACTTCAACTCTATAGGGACATCTTAAGTGGAAACATAGATTGTAATAATATCAAACAAGGTGATGTGAAGTATGTATCTTTTTACTTCCTAGAGTATGCAGTGTAACATAACTCTTCTGCATTGTGATTCATACAATACACTATAAAAAAGGTAGATGGTGGAAAGTCAACCACTTTGCTGCTAACATTCACAGCACCAAAAGAACTGGTAACTAAGAACTTTTTGCAGCTCTCCCCAATTTTGTAGAAAAGAAAGCTGTATAATGTATATTATTTCATTTTATTGTTAATTGATTTATTGACTGGACTTCTCAGCTTCTCATATTTCTAATTTCTTTGCGAGAAAAGTGATTTGTAAGTCTTGATCTTCCACTATCTTTCGAAGCCCTTCAATAGCCTGAGACTGTTGCAAGTTGTCGAAAAATGAAGATACTCTAGGAACCTAATGAATGGAGCTCTCCAATGGTCTTTATCCTCTGCCGAATCACTTTCTTTGAGGAATATCTATTTGAATTCCATCTTGCACCTATCACAAGTCAGAAAGTCGATCCAGTTCCTGCTGCAGGCAAACTCAATCCAAAGGAAGAATCCACGCATAGTCACCAGTCACGGGAACACTTTGGTCTCCTTACCGTGGAGGTCTCATCAATAGAGAATGGATATGCTGAAAGGCGTGGCAAGAAAGGGGTCCAGTCTAGAAAGGGTTGTTTGGGGATTAGTGGGTCTACAAGCAAAAGTAAAGAGCCTCGCCTAAAGTACCAGACCCGGAGCTGAGAACAAGAGAGAAAGCGCAACTTCTCATTCAAAGCATGAACGTTGTCAGGTCACTTAGAGCCAGAAGAGATAGGAGTATCCTGGCTGAGCCTGAAGATAATATGGGCAAATCTAGGTAGGTCGGTTAAGCATCTCGCTGGGCTAGACTTTCTATGACCAGAATCTCTCATCAAGGAGTGGTTGAATAGTTTCTAGATGGCCCTTCCCACATGTACAGCCAAAGTTTCGAGATTTTGCGGGGTGGTGGAAAAGTTTTGCTCTCCATGCAGACTCTAAAGAAATGAAATCTCTGGAAGGTCTAGTTTGGCTTCATTCTGTGCATGGGCTATTTAGAAAGCTCTCAATTAACCCCTTTGACATTGTAAAGCCCATAAGTGGACCTATACACTACAAATGAGATGGTTAAGCCACAAAGGCCCCAACATCACGAACATCTCAGACAGCCAACGAAGCCGGAATCTCAACAGATCCAACAATTTTATGTTTGTTTTCTACGTACTAAACCTTGAAGTGACTATGATAGGATGACAACTGCTACAAGAATTGCAGGATATGGTGATGTACGAAAATTTATTTTCCATAAGAGTCAAATTACTACAAGTAAACTGGCCATTAATAAATATATTAAATGTGATAAGATAGTGGAAAGAAACTTTTGCTTTAGAATTTTTGCATAACTGATGCATCAGCACACATTGACCAGGGACAACAAAATTTACACCTAAATCTGCAACTACCTGTGAAAGCTGGAGACGAGTCTTTCTCTCAGCAGCTTTGAAGGCTTTTTCATGAGCTGTAACAGTTTTTTCCTGTTTGCTCTCCTGTCTTTTCTTCAATTCATACCATCGCCGAGCATTGGCATGAGCTGAAAGTGCCAGATCAACTTCTACCTAAAAGTGGAAAACAACAATGAAATATTAACCATAAGGTTTCTGGTCAAAATACTATGCGGCTTTTTATTTAGTTAGGTAAGTGGGAGCTTATCGTTAACAGTAAATTAGTAGCAACAGCAGTAAACTGTTTCAAAGAAATATCGATATACTATCCCCCACCCCCAAACAAAAAAAACAAAAAGACATAAAGGCCAAGCATCAGTTGTTTCCAAAGGTGATCTATGGTTGTTTGACATCTTGAAGAAAGACAACAATATTGGAAATGCAAATGCATGCATGTGATTGACTTCATGCATGTGAAATATACTCCAATCTAGAACAGACAGAAAAATAAAAGCCATGCCTGCACATGATTGACTTCATGTATGAGGAATATATATGCTTATAAGGAAGCGGAATGAATATGTGTTTAAGCATAGTTGATTGAAGCTTTGTCACTTCAGTCTAGAACAGATAGAAAAACAAAAGCCAAAACTAGAACTTCAAGTAACACCTTGTCCACAGGTTGTGTCTTTTCATCATCGTCCATTTCATCGAGATTGTTGCTCAACAGCAGTGTCATACAGTTTCTTTCAAGATGGAGCTTGTCAATGAGACCAGCCACGGGATTTCCAGATTTCTTCTCCTCTTTCACCATTCGAGCTAGATCTTCCCAACTCATACCATTGGCAAGAGCTACACGAACAGCTAAAATAGCAGCATCCACATCTTCTAAATTATATTCTATCAATTCTGCCATTCTAATACTACGATCAACTTCTTTCTTCAATGTGTGCACACGATTTTCCTAAAGCATAAAACAGAAAAAATTCATAATTAACAGAAAAACTCAATGATTGAAATATATTCTTGTAAAATCAGTAAAATCAACTCCAAAAAATCAATACAGATCCTGAAATATCTAAAACTTTTGACAAAATATCAATACAAATTCAAGAGCCTAGTCTAGACTTATAGCATAACTGTCGGGCCATAGCTTGAACGTCAAGACAAGTAATACAATATCTTACTAAGGATGCTTTGCCTACATTTCAAGGTGAATGCTATCAAAATCTACACAAAAATGTGGCTCCTGCCATCCCATTCAACATCATCAATACAATTGCATAATGAAAAACCCCACTTTATATTTTTCTGGCTTTGAAAAGAATAAAGGGAAAACCCCACAGTGGAAGCTGTTGTGACTATTTGCCTATATTGTTTGGGCCTTTGGCTGCTACTGAATAAAATCTAACCAGTTGAGCCCATTATGAAATAGAATTTCATCGTGTATAAACCATAAAAGCAAATCAAAATTGTCCAATAACTAATAAAATCACACCATGTCAATTTTAAAAAAAGGATCAAGACCCACCACTTAATTAATCCCATTCCAAATCAGCAAAAGAAAGCAGAGAAACAGGGAGGTTAGGGAATTACAATCTAATGTTTACCCTCTAGCAGATGCAAAATGTTAATGAATCAACAATTACTATAATTTAATGAGCTCTAAGACTTCTATTCACATCTTTACATCTTCTCCTACAATCAATTTTTGTCCTTTTCTCTTCTTGCACATGCCAAATTGTTTTTCATGGGGCCCACAAAGATGACTCCGGGAATTAAAAAAACCTGCATAATGAGCTCAACTAGTGTATAGGGATTGGCCCAACTGTTATAAATCCCTGTTCAACGCACATACTCTCACATTGACATGAGCAGAACCCAATCGGGAAACCTAGAGTGAAAGGGCAATGAACCTCAAGTGATGAAAAATCAAAATTAGTCTTCAAAATGTAATAGATATGCTTGCGTCCTTGAAAATGTAATTCAGTCAAAACTTACAAAAAAAAAAGCTAGAAAGCAAAATGCAATTCCTATGAGTTAAGGACTGATAACAATTTAGAGTCTTTCTCAATTCAAAGAAAACATTATAAAATGAAAGACCTGATCCGTGCGAATTTTGCTAAGTTTCTGCATGGCTGAGCCCTCTTTTGCCTTTTGCTGTTGTTCAGACCGTTGAGTCTCAATTTTACTGTAAAACTCATCCAAAGCAGCATCAAATGTCTCAAATTTCACAGAATCCCTAGACTTGAACTGGTTCAGCAATAGGGGGCAGAATTCATCATAGATCTGCAAAATAGGTCACTTAAATAAAATAATGCCATGCAACAGAAAATCAAAATCATATATCACCCTTTCCGTCTTTCATACATACATATGGCACTAAAGCCCATCAAACGAAAGAAAAAGATTCAGCTGCAGTTCAAACAAACAAAAAATATTACAAGGAATAATAGAAGTAACCTGGTCTGAAGTTCCTGGCTCTGATGAGGTGCAGTTCTTCTTCCCCACAATTTTCTGTTGCATTAAAATGTAGCCTTCTGGAACTCTATCACCTGATATAATGTCCTCTAGCCAATCCTCAAATTTTATAACAGCCTGAGCCAGAGCCTGAATGACATCATCATCTAATTTGAAATCCTCAGCAACTTTTGTACTTGGAACCAAACCAGCATCTAGAATGATATGTTCAGATAGTGCAGGCCCGTAACCCAATATCTCCCCAAGAACAACCTTCAATGTGGCTTGCTTGGCACGGGCACCATCATTTGCATTTTTATTAGACTCGGATGATTTCGCACCTTTACGGCTACCTTGCTTTCCTTTTAGTTCATTAGACACATTATTTCCAGGTTCAGTACCCTCTATATCTTTATTTTTATCAGGTTCTTTTGAGGATGTAAGAGCTGCCTGCAACTTTGTCATGGTAGTTCGTTCAAAAACTCGACAAATTTCCACTGGGTAACGATGTCGTGACATAATTGCAAAGCCTTTATCATCATCCCTGTTATTGACAAGTTATCATCATCTACCTAGCTTGCAGAAATGTGAGCCATAAAACAGAACTATCTGGAGAAAGAGCAAGATGCTCCTTAAGTTATTATGGAGTAGAAAAAAAGATGGTCTCTACCATATTGTCAAAGGATTCAGTTCACGTGACAAACAGCAAGATACGTGTAATAGCGGAAAAGCCAATAGATGTACATGGTTCTTTCTCATCTTCATGGATGCTTCAAACACTTAAAATCTAATCTAAACAAAAGTAAAAAATTTGGAGTGACGGAATTGCAGCTCTTAACTCTTGTATGTTTTAGCTTTGCCTAAGCTATATTTGGACACTTCATTTCACTTCTAAACACCATTGCAGTCACATTCAAGTGGTTGCTCGTCGTTTAGGCCGATGTCACTGAAGCTAAAGACTGGCACGTATTTATTACCATGCTCATCTTGTATTGTTGTATTGGCATGTAATGAATGCCAACACCTAAATAGGACACTTATTGGTTTCAATTAAGAAATCTAACAGATTAACAGTAATGAGTTGCAACGAATTATTAAAATTGTTTTATGCGGCAACCGAAAGATCTCTATAAATCAAACATTCAGCAATCATCTAACCGTGCAGTTTAGTTGCATATGCTATGTGATGTTGGCATATACTTTGTGATGTTGTGGCCTGAATTCTGTTTAGGGATTTCGGCCTGAATCTTTTTGATCCGTTTTTCTCTTGCGGGTCTTGGACCCTGTTTGGGACTTCCCTGTAGCCCGGCATATAAGGGCATTTAGGGTTTGGAGTGGGAAACGAAAGTACACTGAAAACCACAGGAAAGTGAGTGTGCGAGAGAGCTAGGGTTTGGGGGCTGAAACTTGTAATTTCTTATTTTTCACATAGTGAAATCTCTCGCTGGACCGTCACCTTGGATATAGGCTTGCCTAACCACGTAAATCTTTGTGTTTGATGGAGATCAATTTCAGCAATCTTTAAAGGTGTATAAACGGCGCAAAAAAAGGAGGATTCTAAGACTTGAGCTGGCATAGGCTAGATGATGTGGGTCCACATGGAGTCTTAAATAATTGGAAGTTCTGGTCAATTTTTATTTACTATTATTATGCTATTAAGTTAGCATTGACTGCCTCAATAATGGGGTAATCCAAGAGTCAAGTATTGACTACCTCAATTATGGGGTAGTAAACTTGGTGAGGGAGTGAATGAATGAATAAAAATATCTTATGAAAATCTTTGTGGGTGATTCACAAAATATGAGGGTGTGAGGCCTTCTCCAGGTGTGATGGCTAGACTTGTTGATGAGATTCCAATAGGTTTTTGTTATTTTCAAATCCTTTCTCTCTACTAACACATCTTGAACCATAGCTCTGTTTAACTAAATTTTCAGCCAATAACTATTATTTATTTCAACTGTTCGAGGCTAACCAACGGGTCAGTGGCCCAGCAGTACCAAGCCCCTACTTCTCAAAGGGAGGTCAAGGGCTCAAGCCTCAGTGGAGGCATGGGTGTGTGAGTATCAACTAAGAAAATAAAATAAAATAAAATAAAATAAAATAAATAAAACTATTCAAGGCTACTCTTGTCCTACATTAGGGTTTTTTGTGTGTTGTGTTTACTTTTCCGTCGTGATTCTTGATTGTGTTCTTGGTTTGTGGTGTTTTTCATAACATACTCTTCTTTGTAAGGAATAAAAATAGAAGACTCGCCATTGATGCTGCCACTAATACTAAAGGCCCTATGTGTCTTATGTTGTGTAGCTAGGCAAGCTAAAAAAAAGAGTCAGAGGCTGAGCGAGAATATTTTTTAGGAGAGAGTGAACTACTCAATTTATATGCTTTTTCTTTTATATTACAAAATTTTCAATAATTAAATAAACTTGTATGCTACTGTAAGGCCTCTTATAAAATAAAATTAATCAAGTTGCTCTAACTTTTATATGCTCCACAATCAAAATAATATTAGATATATCTTGATGTTTAAACTACTCCAAAAAATTTAAACCAAAAGCACTTGAGATTAGTGTTATCAAAGGCCCAAGGCGCACGAAGGCGCTAGAGGTCCTTTGGAGCCAAGGCACAAGGTGCAAGGCAAGGCGCACGCCTGAGTGAAGTGAGGTGCACAATTGAAAAATTAAATTACCATTAAAGCATATTAATATTTCATATTAAAGGTGCAAATGTTGTCAAAAGCGCACCTCGACGCACAACAGGCGCAAGTGTTGAGCCTGCGAGAGCCTGGAGCCTAGGCGCGCCTTTAACAACACTGCTTGAGATTCATTGATGATGTATGAGGTTTGATGGAAATTGAAAGTTCATGAAATTGAGTAAAACATGGAAGGTGGTTATGGGAAAAGGTAAATTCTGGACAGAAAGTTGATCATTTTCTAAAATGAAATTCATGGTTTGAGTCATAATGTAAAGTTAGAAACCCAGATCTGGTGGTTATTATGTAAAAGTGAAAAATTGAGATGGCTCATGCCTCATGTGTAAATAGGAAGGCCTGATTGGGGGCCGGATATTAAGCGTTTGGAGGTAGAGCAACATAAAAAAATAAAAATAATAAAAATAAAAACATATCAATCTTTGGAGGTCCCAAAGCAAGCCCTTATACTCGGAGGGTTTGGTGTAGGGTGTATAGCTGGATCTAAATGTTGGATAGGTAAGCAACCTGTAGTAAAAGAGTAGTAGTTATGAACCTTTTTGCCCATCACTCTTTCGACACTTTATTTACACTTCTAAGGTTGGCCAAACATTTACAACTCTGGGAAAAACTAACAACCAGCATGATGTGCCATGCTGAAAGAACATGGTCAATGTTTTGATGGTGCTCAGTGAACGAGTACCATGAGGACAACAACAGTTTTATTTTTCTACTATGCAATCTAGCTAGTTGAAACATGAAACATGCAAGCACATGTGAATGTATGCATACAATAATATATAAATTCCAATACAGATGTGACATTGACATGTACACTGCCGTGCAAAACCAATTGAAAATAAATAATGGATCACCAACCTGTGCGACCGGAGAAGAGTCAGGACCGTGACCTCAGAATCAGTGAGGATAATATTTCCTTGGGCATATAACTCCAATATGACATAGTGTGCATTAGCACCCAATCCAAATTGAAAGAGAATTATCTGAAAACAAGGTAAATTAGAAAGGGAAAAAATAAAAATAAAAATAAAACATAACAATAAGGTAAACAAATAATCTAACAATAAAGCCAACAAACTTATACACAGAGAAGAATCCAGAAGATCATACCCGATCATATCCAAGTTGTCGCACATCCTCAAGCCTTCTTGTGCGTATATGCTTCCTCAATTTGAGAGTAAACCCGGAAGGAGTGTTACTTTTGTCCCTACAAACAATCAAGGGCCAAACTTTTAGTATTAAAATGGGTCACATTACTATTCATAATTCTTCTTTTTGTTTTCTTTTTCTTTTTCTTCTCCTGGTTTACTATTTTCCATCAGAATAAACTTCTTCATTTTTTAATTTTTTTATTTTGGCATTATTACCAATGCAAAATTCAACTCAATGCAACAAAGCCATATGAATGTACAATTTTTTTGCATTATTCCTGTGGGTCACAAATTTTTTATTTTTTTTATTGACAGGGTGAGGGGTTTGATGGAGGTGGAATTCGTAATTCTTTGCCAATTAATATGAATGCTCAAATTTCTTTCCACTTTTTAAAGTTCCTGGGCAATTAAATAGAGTCTCTAAAGCTTTGAAATGAGAAGCTTACCGAACATAATCTGTGGTATGCAATCTGACACCACTTTCCATCAACAACAAAACCTTCTCGCTCTCCCCAGATTCAGTAACTCCACTACTGTTCATAAGCTTAAACACGTATGTCTGCAACCAATTCGTGAATATACCCAAAATATATCAACACAAGCCCATTAAATTCATCTTACACAAAATTAATCACTCAGCTAACCAATTTAACAAACAGCTGGTTGTCGACAAAAATATAAAAACACACACACATAAACACACATCTATACATATATATATTCACATAATATAATCATATATGTATAGATTGATTACCTTAGGAGAGAGATCATAGACGTTGGAACAACGCATTCCGATTAATCGTCGCAGACACTTGACCTCTGCGGCCACATCGGCCGTGTTCATTCGAACCTTCACCATTTTCTGTGTTTCTCTCTGTCGTGCTGTTCTGTTAGGTTTCTTTTGAGATTTCTCGAGGAAGAAGGCGATTCAATTCCATTTATATGTGTGTATAATATATATATATATTTACAACGACACGCGAGGTTGACAGCCATATACAACTTGACCCTTTTTTTTTGTTTTTTTTTTTTTTTTTTTTTTATGAAGACACCCTCAAGTTGTAAACTTGAACAATGACACTCCAAATATGATGAAAGTACTTCATATTCTTTTTATCACATAAAATGACCAAATTACCTTCATCTAAAAAAATTCTTTCTTCTTCCAATTTTTCGATCCTCCCATTCATTCCAGCCAATATACACAACCACTACTCACCCGGCACCACCATTCACGACCATCGCAATCTCCACAACCACCATCTTCTTCTCCATTCCACCACCATGACACAAACCTAACACCTCAAAATTACACACATATATCTATGGTCGAGCCATCCAAACCCAACACATATAAATCACACAAACCCAACACACATAGATCACACCACCCAAAAAAAAAAAAAAGAGATCGCCTCAAAAGAGATCTCGCAGCGAGCAAGGAGAAGCCCTCACCGGCCAATCCCTCACCAGCCACCACGAGTCCTCTACGGCTGAGCCATCCACAGTCAATCCAACTCCTAACTCGTCTCACCCACCTCCGCCTTTCAGCCACTGCTCTCTGCATCGACAACACCACTGGCGTCTGCCACCTCACCCTCGACTGATACCCAGCACACCAACCCTGCTCACAAATCCAAGATCCTCCTCAACCTTCTCCGATCTCTGCCGTCCATCGCAGCCGCCGCCGATCTCACTTTTTGTCGCTGTTGATATTCTCTACCGAGTTGAGTAAACAACAGAGATAACTTCTCTGCCGATTGCAGGTCCCTCTCTGCCACCGCCTATCTCTCTCTCACTGTTATTTTAATCTGCCATCGGTAATTAAACAAAGTTTTCTGGTAACCCATCTCAGTTATTCTATAGTTCTTGATCTGACAACTCTAATGGAAACACCATCATCAACAAGAAGGATCACCAGATCACAAGCCTGTGTGTGTGAGATAGAGAGAAAATTTGGTTTTGGTACGGATTGGGGGTTTGAGGGTGTGGAAGAAGATGAGGGCGATTGAGCAGTGTGTGTGTGTGTGTGTGTGAGAGAGAGAGAGAGAGAGATAAGATGAGATACGATGAGAGGATAGTTGAGGTGAGGATTAAAATATTCTTAGGGCATATTAGACATTTCATGTAACTTAAAGGTTGTGTCTAGCTCTGTTTTTTTTAAATGAGGTGTCATTATTCAAGTTTGCAACCTTAGGGGGTGTCTTTGTCCAAAAAATGATTAAGTTGTATATGGCTATCAATATGGGAAACCTCAGGGGGTGCTGTTGTAATTAACCCTAAAACTTAATATAATATGTTTAGAAGAGTTTCTCAAATAATCTATTTATTATGAGTTTTTTAATTAAAAGAGATAAAGTGCTTACATATTACTAGTTTTTTAATAAATAAAATTTAATTAGACAAAAAAATATTCTATTAAAATAAAAAAAATAAGAATTTCTATAAAACTCAAATTACTTATTTATTATGAGAAAATATTTAAAGAAAATAAAATTAAAAGTTTCAAAGAAATATTTAAAAGGGCGAATTGCAAAAAATCCCCCTCAACTTTCACTCGTTTGCAAAAAACACCCATTATGAATATATCTATCAATTAACCCCCTCAACTATCATGAGGGGGTTATTTTAACTAACCTCTGTTAGAGTGATTGTGTGATAAAATTTTCAGACGAAATTACCTTTAAAATCAAAACAATACATTAGTATTACTAAAGTACCCATCAATCACTTTATTTTTATTTTTTTAACTGCATAAAACACTAAAATGAGGCCTCTTATTATGAAACGAGGCCTTTGATTTTTTCTTTCGTAATGTTCTTGCATTTGGAATATATATAGTAATATGGTACTTATTTATCAAATGTCAACTTAAATTGATTTTGGTGAAAAAAAAAAAAAAAAAAACTTGTACCATGATTTTTTATAAAATAAGATAAAGAAAGAGATATAAATATAAGAGATCCAAAAATATCAGTACTATATTTTTTATAAAATTTAAAAGTAGAAATTTATAAGATTCTAAAAAATTATGGATATAACATATCCAAAAAAAATCCAGTGGCATCCACCATAATATGAAAACAAATCCCCCCTCCCCCACCCCCAAAACACATTTCACTCTTGTTTTTTTATTTTATATTTTTTTTTTATAGTCAAAAGATATTTCACTTAAATAACAAATATTTGTTTGGACTATCTTTAATTATATATTTATTTCAACATCATAAATCTTAATCACAATACTTTTCTATTAAATTGTGATATGCTACACACACACACACATATATAAATGGAAAAAGCCACTTCCTCCTAATTATGATATGATTTTGCAACATAGTCTGATAAATTTCTACTTTTAAATTTTATAAAAAAATCATAGTACTGATATTTTTGGATCTCTCGTATATATCTCTTTCTTTATCTTATTTACAAAAAATTATGATACAAAGTTTTTTTTTTCTTCACCAAAATCAATTTATGTTGACATTTAATAAATAACTACTATATTACTATATATATTCCAAATGCAAGAACATTTCGAAAGAAAAAATCAAAGGCCTTGTTTCAAAATCAGAGGCCTCGTTTTAGTGTTTTATGCCATTAAAAAAAAGTGAGTGGTGGATACTTTAGTAATACTAATGTTTTGTTTTGATTTAAAGGGTAATTTCATCCGAAAATTTTATCACACCATCACTGAAGAAGATGTTTCATGTTAAGGGTAATTTTGTCTGAAAATTTTCCTCACACAATCACTTTAATAGAAGTTAGTTAAAATGACCCCCTTATGATAGTTGAGGGGGATTAATTGCTAAAAATATTTATAAGGGGGGTTTTTCGCAAACGGGTAAAAGTCGAGGGGGGTTTTTTGCAATTCACCATATTTAAAAAAAAAAAAAATATTAAAAAGAAAATTTAAGTAGACAAGAAAATATTTAAAGAAAATTAATTTTTATAAATTCTATCACAAATTACTTATTTTATTTTTTATAAAGTTTTATCATATATAACCTATGCATTTTGGATCACGCTTGTAGTGTGCATATTTTTTTTAGTTTATAATTTGTGTCTTTATAACTGGTATTGAGAAGGCAGCAATAGTTGTTGTTGACCCAGTAAGTTTAACTTGAATTGTTAATTTTTTTTCTTTACTTTTTCATTTTAGAAGCATTATTATTATTATTATTATTATTATTATTATTATTATTTTCCATTTGCTTTTGTTTTTGTATTTTTTTTTTTTGTTTTTCTCTTTCTAGTTGATGTTTAGAAGTAGTTGATTTGTTTTATTTTTATTTTTCTCTTTCTAATTGATGTTTATAAGTGGTTGATTTGGTTAGTTTACTTTGAATTGTGATTTGTTTTCTTCATTTTTATTTTTATTTTTGGTTAATTCTTAATTTATTATTATTTTGAGTTGTTATTGTAATTTTTTTCTTTACTTTTTATTTTTCAGAAGTATCATTCTTCTTTTTCCTTTAGTTTTTATTTTTATTTTACTCTTTGTAAGTTTACTTTGGATTATGATTTTATTAATTTATTTTTTGGTTCATTCTAAATTTATTTTTATTTTGAGTCGTTATTGTTATTTTTTTCTTTACTTTTTTGTTTTTCAAACTTATCGTTTTTCTTTTTTCATTTAGTTTTTATTTTTATTTTACTCTTTGTAATTTTACTTTGGATTGTAATTTTTTTCTCTAGTTTTATTTTTTTATTTTTGATCCATTCTTAATTTAATAATTTGAGTCGCGTTTCAATGTTTTTTTGAGTTTGGGTTGGACTTGATTTTGATTTCAATTTGTTGCTAAAATTTTTTGATATGTTAATTTTTTTATTTTCAATTTTTGTTATTATTAGTTTTGGTTCAATCTTAATTTATTGTTTTGAGTATTATTGTTATGTAAAAATTTTGAATTTTTTTCCATTTTTTATTTTTTTATTTTTGGTGTTTTCTTAAATATAAAAATATTTATTAATTAATATAAAAAAAAATTATAAGAGTTTATAGAAAACTCTAACACAAATTATCTATTTTTTATGAGTTTTTATTTATTAATTAATATAAGATGTTTATAAGAGTTTCTATATATAATGACCCGATCATTTTACTTCCTTTCTTTTTTCTAAAATTTTACGGATAAATTTTTTCCGTAGAATTTTCTTTTCTGAGTTCCGTTACTCATCACTTAGTGTCGTCTCGAGTGCTCGGAAATGGTTTCTAAGACTATTTCCTTTGAATTGACAAGTTCCTTTTGATGAGCGCTGAAAAGTGCGTATTTAAACCCCTTAAGCTTAAACATTCTAGTACCTTTATCTATCTTACTTTACCGTTTTAGATTGATTTCAAATTATTTATATTTTCAGGCACTTATCCTGAAAATAAGCTAACTCAGCCAAATAAGAGCTTAATTGAAGCAATTCTGGGATTAAACAAAGAAAGGAGCAAAGTGGAGAAAAGAAAGAAGAAAATGAAGCCAAAGGTGGGAAGCAGCAAAGTTCGATCGATCCAACTTCAAGGTTCGATCGATCGAACACTAATCGATCCCAGTATTTCATGATAGATCCAAACCTTGACCCAAAGCATAAGTCCAAAGTTCGATCGATCCAACACCATCCTTCGATCGATCGAACACTTTTGTTCTTATTCAAATAATTGATCTTATCCACAGCTGTACCATCCATTAACCACTTTTGTCCTATTCCCCAAAAATATCTCTCAAAATATCTCAGATTTGTCTTTTCCCAAAAAGCTCAACCAGTTGGATTGATCAACTCTCAGTTCGATAGATCTCAGCCAAGTTCGATTAATCCAAGTCCAAGGTTCGATCGATCGAACTTCCTCCAGTGCGAAAAAGTTAAAAAGCCAGCTTATTCAATCCGTCCTCTATCCAATCATTAGAGAATATTCTTTGCACGACCGTAGCTCATTTGGTGTGTCACTTA